CACACACACACACACACACACACACACACACCACCTATACACACATACCCCACATATACACACACACCATAAGCATCTGACGCAGCACGTTGGCTTAGCTGACACACTTCCTTCCCCTCCCTTCTTTACCCGAGTTCCCACTTTCCCAGCCTCTCAGGCTGCACATCTGCATCAGAGAGCATAACTCTGTGTGATTTCCAACACTTGAAATTTGTGGGAAATTACTTCATAAATTTTTTTTCATAGAATTAAATTTGCCATGTAAGTCTTTCTTTTCCCTTTCCTTGTTTTTTTTTTAAAGTTTTATCTATTTATTTTGAGAGAGACAGAGACAGTGGGAACAGGAGAGAGGCAAAGAGAGAGAGAGAGAGGGAGAGAATCCCAAGCAGGCTCCGCACTGTCAGTGCAGAGCCCAACAAGGGGCTTGAACTCATATACTGCGAGATTATGACCTGAGCCCAAACCAAGAGTTGGACACTTAACCAACTGAGCCACCCAAGATCTCTTCCTTATTTTTAATTTATATTTCAGTTAGTTAACGTACAGTGCAATGTTGGTTTCAGGACTAGAATTCAGTGATTCATCACTTACATGCAACACCCAGTGCGCATCACAAGTGTCTTCCTTAATACCCATCTCCCATCTAGCCCATCCTTCACCCACCTCTCTCCATCAACCCTCAATTTGTTCTCTATTGTTATCAGTCTCTTGTGGTTTGTTTCCCTCTCTTCTCTCCCCTCCCCCCATATATTCATTTGTTTTGTTTCTTAAATTCCACATATGAGTGAAATAATATGGTATTTGTCTTTCTCTGATTGACTTATTTCACTTAGCATAATACCTTCTAGCTTCATCCAAGTCATTGCAAATGGCAAGATGTCTTTTTGGTGGCTGAGTAATATAGACACCACATCTTCCTTATCCATTCATCAGTCGACACACATTTGGCTATTGTTGATAATGCTGCTATAAAATCTCAGGGTAGTTATATTTTTAGGTTTTTGAGGACCCTCCATACTATTCTCCAGAGTGGCTGCACCAGTTGTCATTCCCACCAACAGTGCAAAAGGGTTCTCCTTTCTCCACATCCTTGCCAACACCTGTTGTTTCTTGTGTTGTTAATTGTAGACATTCTGACAGGTGTGAGGTGATATCTCATCATGGTTTTGATTTGTATTTCCCTGATGATGAGTGATGTTGAGCATCCTTTCATGTGTCCATTAGCCATCTGGATGTCTTCTTTGGAAAATTGTCTGTTCATGTCTTCTGCCCATTTCTTAAGTGGGTTATTTGTTTTTTGGCTGTTAAGTTTGATAATTTCTTTGTGGATTTTTGATTCTAACCCTTTTTCAGATATGTCATGTGCAAATTGATGTCTTCACGGCTTTCATCTTTGTTTTTTGTTTTTGCATTTTATCAGCTTCTAGCCTTGGGCAGAGGATTAGTCTGAAAGTGATGTTCATAGCTGAATGAGCATCCTGTGTGAAATGGCTTCTCACTGCCTGATGCCTCACAGGCAATCTAATGTGATGTGGGACTGTCACTGAGTCCTGTTCCTTCCTCCATACTTGCCTTCACAGGGTGTGGGTCACCGGCTGCCTTCTGAGCTGCGGTGGGCAGTGGGGGAGTATTTCCTTCATGTTCTCCTCTCTCTGTTCATGCCTCCCAGCTGGTGCCTTGGAAACTCCCCACCCCCCCACACCAAACTGCATGCTGGTAAAATCACATCAATGTGGTTTTATGCTACTAATACAATGTTTATTTCTGGCTGTGTTTTTCAACCATGAGCAAAATATTATTTCTCAGTCATACTACTGTGTTTTTTTTTAAGGTTTTATTTATTTATTTATTTATTTATTTATTTATTTATTTATTTATTTATTTTGGAACACTTTTAGGTGTACAACAACTTTGAGAGGAAGGTACAGAGATTTCCCACATACCCCCTGCCCCAACACACACACACAGCCTCCCCATCATCAACATCGCTCACCAGAAGGGTCATGTGTGAGCCTACATTGGCACATCATCATCACCCAAAGTCCACAGTTTACCTTAGGAATCACTCTTGGTGTTTTACATTCTCTGGGTTTGAACACTTATGTAATGACATATATTTATCAACGTAACATCATACAGAATATTTTAGTGCCCCTGAAAATCCTCTGTGCTCTGCCCATCCATCTCCCTACCTACTATGTTTTTAATCTTTATAGTTATTGTTGCAATGAAATTTATAATTAAGAAGAGCTGTTTTTTTCTTTGTTTGTCTTTCAAAACCATAGCAATTCAGTGTGCTTTCATATAATAGGACTAAAATATTTACCCCAATAGCCTACCAAAAATTATGAATAAAATGTTAAGCCAGAAAATATAAATTTCCTTTTGGGAAAAACGAGACTTTGCCTGTTCACTATTGGATAACTCTCTAATAGAACGACTCGTGAGGTAAAAGTCATTAAGGATTAAAATGGGTGATCTAGAAATAAAGTCCACAGTTCTTAAAAAAAAAAAAAAAAAGGGCAAAGCACTCAAAACAATCCAGGATCTGAATCTCCTTTTCAGTCTCATTAGTACTATTTTCTGTTGTTGGCTTTCCAAATATCTGAAAGATAGTTGTGGTTTCCTAAATATAGCATGCTTTTCCAGGGCTCTATTTCCTAACACACACTTTTCCTTGTGCTTGAAATACCCTTTCTCCCCTTATCAATTTGCAAGCTCTTCTTTGTCCCTCAGGGTCCATTTTAAGCCTTACTCATAGTATTTCCTTCAGACTTCCTCTCTTTTTCTCAGATGGTCTTACCGTCTTCTTTTCTTCCATTGTTCATTCATTATTTGTTCAACAACTGTCCTTGAATATCTGACAAATACCTCCCCTGGGCTTTAAAGATAGAAACTTGACGAAGGCGTGAGCCTTCCCCTGACTTCAGAGAGTTTATGGTTTGCCAGAGCAGACTGACATTAGTGAAACAAAATGATCCAGGAATTCTTGAAACATCTACGCAGAATCCCAATTTTTCTGAATCACTTTTTGCATCTGAGTCATGGATGCCTGTGTTTTCCACCCAACACGTCTCCACCATCAAGATGCTGATGATGTTCTAACTTTAGAAACAGACTCCCTACTATTGTCTCTTCTCTCTAAGTAGACTTCTGTTCTGCTTATTTCGGAACCTTACCAGAAAATGTCAAAGGAAGATATTCTGACAGTAACGAAGCCTCACAATCCTTCCTCAAAGAGGCTTTAAGTGGTTTGTTGACTGAATATTGAGAAACCGTAGGAGCCCTGTCATGCCACTGGGAATAACAGCTAAGACCTGAAGTGACAACTCGGTCACAACTGTCACCCTGTCTACCGCAATCATAAGATGTGTACCAACATCAGAGTTGTGAAAATGTGAAGCCTGCATACTTTAGAATGAGTGACGTGTGGTAATGAGGGTTACTTTAAAATTCAGCAATAAATTTCAAAATTCAACTTAGAAACCTTAGCTTTAGTACGTAATTAACTTAGATTAAAGCTGATCACTCTTAATACTGCACCCAGGGAGGTAGATTCTAACCTCACCTTCTGTAACAGGGCTTCCTTGTGGTGCAGTAACCATACTCTGAACAGAAAGTCAGAGAATTCAGGCTCTGCACATTCTTAGGAAACACAGGGATGTCTTAAACAGAACTCGTGATGCTGAATGCATGCAATGATAGGAACTTTTCTTGTCCAAATGAATGAACAAAAGAAAAAACCCTGCC